GGCAGCCAGGTATGCACGCAACTAGCAGAGACACTCACTCACTCATCCATGTTGTCCATTCCGCGTTGTCATTCAGCGTTTGAGACCAGCCCGGCCCACTGCGGGGCTGAGTTCGGCTATGGCCGCCCTGTGGCCGACAACAATACTGACACGGGTGAGCCAAAAACGAAGGGACGTTCATGGCCACATGTGCCATATGTGTCTGTCTGTTGGTCCGTATTCAGTGCCTGGTGCGTTTGAGTCGGTCCCTGAGTCCAACATGGCTCACTTTGACGACTCGGATGCCCCCGGTATGACGAGAGGGGAGAACGTTCATCCAGGTTTACACATGGACTCACAGATACTTTCACTTGTGTGTGTGCGTCCTCCGCAGCAGCAGCGGCTCCCGCCCCTGCCATCGCCCAGGGCGAGCCTGCCGGCGTCAATGACGAGGAGGGCGATAATGACGGCGAGGTGGTGGTGCCGGAGGATGGCGTGGTTAACGATGGTGAGCAACCGAACAAGGGCATTTATCCATCATAATGGACGTGTGTGAACGCATTTGTCTCTCCCTTGGTAAACTGCAGGCGCCCAGCCCGCCGTCATTGACCCGCCGCCCGCCCAGCTGCCCCCGCCCCTTGTCGTGGTTGAGAGGGCCATCCAGACTGATGGCATCATTCTCCAGACGACCATGCGCCAGCAGTAGGGAGGGAGAGAGAGACACAGACGACTGACGAACCAGACGCACACCGGCATTCACACATGTATGTCGCTGTGGTCCTTTCTCATATGCAGCGTATCGGAACGGGCCTGGTATATGTGGGAGGCCGACCATGCGTCGAGCGCGGTAGACAACTGGGCCGTGGTAAGTGAGCCAACAGAGAAGAAATGGCAGGGTGCATATACATGGGCATGGGATTCTCCATCTGTGTGTGTCGTTGCTGTGTTCCTTGGTTCAGGCTGCTGCCATCGAGATGGAGCAGTCATACTTTATCCTCCATCTCTAATCAGGATGCTGGATAACGTAGTGCATGGCGTGGAGGGAGGTGCCATGTATCTTGTACAGGTTGGTTGGCTGGCTGCCGTGCTCGATTTGTGGTGGTGGATACGTGTGATTTGAGAGCCTTTGACGCTTTCATACAGGAATGGCAATGACGGAGGACCACACACACCCATGGAATGTGTCTGTCGACTCTGTCTGTACGCGCACTGGCATCCAAGCCAAACACGTACGGGCCCTCATGAATCCATCCATCCATTGATGCGAAGCCAAAACGGGTCGTGACTGTAGAGACTCCACGCATTTCATGCGATGACCAACATACATACGAAACGGTCGGTCTGCCCTTCGCTGCTCATTCCTTTCCCCCAATTTGGAGAGAGAAGGAACGGCCACTGTGTGTGTGCATGAATGCCTCTGTGCGTATTGGTGGACACTCTCGCAGTCAGGATGGTTCGATCGCAGACGTTTGCTTGTTCGGCGGGTGCGTCGAACCCTTCGGAGTGCGTTGTCACGTTGCGACATGTCTGTCGATATCGATTTCACATGGCTAGCCAGGTCTCTATCTCACGAGTGTCATGCTGCCATGACATACGAACATACATGCATCTCTATCCATTCTTCCTCCGTTCATTTCATATGGCTGCCTTACTTGCCTCTCTCTCTCTCGCGCACCCTGTGCCAGCTTGTCTGACTGACGTCGTCACGAAGGCATGCGTTGTCGAAAAGATCAGCAGTAAAGTACAAAGTATATAGGCAGGTAGCTACACACGCACGTGCACTCATACGTATGTATGTACGCGGCAGACAGGCAGGCAGGCAGGCACCTGTTGGCAGGCACCTGTTAGGCAAATCTACGTTACGCACCGATCATGCAAAGTAACTTATCCAACTTAACCGAACGAGGGCTCTTCGCAATCTCAAACGAACGGGGAGAAACTGCCGCAAACCAAACAAACTCATGTGGCCTCCCTCTGCCTCCTTCCCTCCCTGCCTCCCTCACCTAGTCAGTCAGTCGGTCATCCAGCCTCCTCCAGGCCTGGGCGGCCTGACGAGGGCGTACACCTCTATCTCATCGCATATGAAGTCGAACCCATCATCCACCAGGCAGTAGACCTCCTCGCCATGCTTCTCGTGACGCTCGCTCCACTCCTCCGGCCAGTCGCCCGGCCGCTCGCCACCCAGCAACACCGCCTGGCACCTTGCCAGAGACCGATGGGCCGCATCCGACCCCTGTCCGCCGCCACCACCACCGGTTGCTGCCGCCGCTGCTGGTGGTGGTGGCGCAGCGTCCCCCCTCTTGACCCCGAGTGAGAGGGAGTTGCCGCAGAGGTTGAGGAGGCACTCGAGGCCCTCTTCCTCGGCCACCTGGAAGTCGGACACGCCGTTGATGCGGCCTTTGAGGTCAGCGAGGTAGACGTAGGCGTACGGACGGTCGGCCTCGCCCAGCAGACCCGTCTGGGGGCGGTCCTCAGTGCCCTCGAGCTTCCACCACCTACACAGACAGCACACGCATGACGCGCACGAAGCAATCACGCCTAGCTGGGTGCACCATATGGTCGCATGGTGTACCAGTGGCGTGTTGCGATGGTGGTCTCTTCGGTGTCCTGCTCCTCGTTGCCCACTGACCTCGGCCCGTCGATGCGGAGCTCCTCCTCAATCAGCACTGCCAGCAGCTCCTGGGTCTCGGCAGCACGCAACAGCAGCAGCAAAGGGCCGTGGCCGCGGATGCAGTCCAAGAAATCCAAGTAACGCCAGCCGTGGAGCGACGCCCTGCACAGAGAGTGGAAGCACCCACCCACCCACAAGTGACAGATCAGACAGCACGCATCCCCCATCCCCGGTTGCGTACTTGTATACTCTCTTGAGCGGTCCCCCTAGCCTCACAGGCAGCGATGGCGAGAGGGGCCGGTCCCTCAGCTCCCTCACGTCCCTCAGCGATGCAGCCATCAGCTGCAGGTGGGCGTCGGTGAGCAGCCCGTCGGTGGGGCCGAAGAGCTGCTCCTCATCGACGCCATACATGCCGAGCACCCGCCTGAACCCCTCCCTCTCGCTCTCGGGGATGGGGAGTCGCTCCTCCCCCGTCGGCATGGCCCCGGTGATCCGCTGCCGCCTTACGATGTCAACGACACGCCTAACGTGCTCCACTGACGCAACATACACCTGACACAAACACACAGCAGCAAACGAAACGGCATACTGAGGATCGCTGTAGTGTGTAGGATGAGGTGCTCTTGTGTGTGTCACGGGCCCACCTCATTCTGCCACTTGCAGAAGCGATTGAAGAGGGGTGAGTCGTCACCCAGGTGGCTGGCCGTGGCGAGCGATGTGGCTATCTTGGTGCCGAGCACATCGATCTCTACCACTCGGTCCTCCTCTCCCCCGTGCAGCCGCGACCTCAGGAACGGCTCGAGCGCCTGCATCCTCTGCTCGAGAGCCGTCCTCTGCGCCACCACGTCCTGCAGGGCCGCCTGCAGGTCACTCACCTTCCCGACCGTCTTCTCCGTGCTCTTCGGGTGCACACTGAGGGCCGGCGAGGGGTTCGTGCCACCACCTCCCGCATCCGGCGTGGCCATCTCGCCCGGGTCAGACACAGAAGGCTCTAGCTCCATATTGCCCGCCGCTGCCGCCGCCGCCGCCGGCGACGGTGCGGGCTGCTGTGCGTTCTCGTCGGGGGTGGTGATGGCGGTGCTGCGGGGTTTCTTGGCCGAGGGGTCGTACAGCAGCAGCCGCACGTACGCCGAGAAGCTGGGGTCGGTCTGTCGGTCGTCGGGCAGCGAGATGTGGTCGATGTCGCCGTCCTGGAGCAGCAGCATCTGGCCCACAATCCAGTGGAACGCCGGCGGGTACATCTCCACAAACAGCCGGTTCTGGGCGTCGCGGAGCAGAGCCTGGTCCCACCGGCCGCAGAATAGCTCGCTGAGGACCGTCCCGCAGAGGAGACAGAGTGTCTGCCGCTTCACCTTGACGTACTCGCCCCCAACGTTCAGCTCCAACACTTGCATGTCCACTGCATCCGACGCCACGAACTCGGGATTACCGTTCAACTCAGTGATTCGCTGCGACACGACAGGCACAAGCAAGACATTGATTCATCAGCCCTTCGCCCAGCGGTTGCCAGCCGCGGTCAAGGCATGCACCCATCCCATTTGCGACTTCGGTCGTGTGGCTGACCTGTGTGATAGATGCCTTGAAAGCCTCGAGGTCCACCCTGATGCTGTCTAGACAGTCGAAGGCCACATCGAGGGACTGCTCGAAGCTCTTTCTCCCCTTGTCAGACTCAGCTGCACCCTCGGGCGTCTTGCGCTTCTTCTGACCTCCTCCTTCGGCATTCCCACATGCAGCGGCCGCAGCGGCCGGTTGGGACATGTTGCCCTCTCGAGGCCTTCCTGAGCCTTAGCGTAGCATCCTCTTTTATCGACACAGCGCAGAAGGCCGTCAAAAGCGCTCAACACCACACCGGGAGGAAACTGAACCGAAGAGGGTTTCTGAAACCCTGTAGGTTGAATCCTTGGGGTTGAATCGAATCGTTGTGACGTTGAGGTGCGCAGACACAGAGCATGACCGCCTTGATGCACAATTATGTCACACCTAAGGCTTGTGTTGGCAATATTCATGTTCAGGTGTGAGTGACTGATGGCTGAAGCATCCTCATCGCCGCAAACCGTTGCGCCGCGAGAGGCGTCGAGACCACATTCGAGTCGGGCACCAGCGAAGCCAGTCGAGAGCTTGCCATGGGTGTGATCCGCCGCACACTCACCGACGCAGACCAAGTGACGCAGCTCATCCGGCAGGGGGCAAACCCAAGTTGTGTCATGCCCCGGCTGCCTCGTGTCGAGTATGCGCTGCTGTCACTCGTCATTGACGACGTGACCGACTACACCATCCCATCCATCTGGGCACAGGCGAAAAGCAATGGCTGGCTGCATCCCGTCGCGCTGCCCCGCTGGCCATCTTCAGCGCTCCAGGATGCCGTCATGACTGCACTGGTCGACGGCGGTGCCGACATCAACGCGGCAGGCGCCGACAGGGATGCAACGCCCATCCGTGTCGCGGTTCCGGCGGCCAACATGACGGCAGTGGATCATCTGCTGCATCGGGGCGTCCAGCTGCATGGATTACTGGCGATGCGGTTGCCGGAGTGGGAGAAGGCTTATCTGACGGCTACCGCTGACTGCGAGAGGCAGCTGCTGGCCATCTGCCGCCGACTCATTCAGCATGACAGCACCTTGGCAGCCGATGAATACCCTGGCGGCTTTGGCTTGGCGCATAGTGCAGCCATAAAAGGTGGAGGTCGCTTCTCTCAGTCCTTCATCAACCAGTACCTCGATCTGCTCGTCGCCAACGGAGCTGACATCAGGGCGGCGGACAATGGTCGAAACACCCCATTGCAGGTGGCGGCGTGTTGGGGTTCTCCCTATGTAACCAACTGGCTGTGTCGCCACGTCCCCGCCGACGATGTCAACAGAGGGATGCCCAACAGCCCCACCAGCACGCCCCTCGCCATGGCTGCCTATCGACTCGACTCCCGCATTCGGCTGCTGGAGGGGAATGGCATTGGAGAGGACGGAAAGGAAGACATCCGCACAACGGAAATTCCCAATCTCAAGACCGTCATCTGCACCCTCCTGAGAGCCGGCGCCGCCCCATCCATCGCCCGCATGCCCACCCAAGAAGCCCAACGAATCCGCCAGCTGGTGCTGACAGAGTACGCCACGGTGCTGAATGGTCTGTCTGATGTGACCATGTCGGCCATCAACGCCGCCCTCGCCCCCCAGCGCGATCACTCGATGCTGCTCGCCCGTCTGCTGCCCCTTGCACCTCACAACGACGGCGAAGACCCCGCCCCCTCCCCCCTCTCAGTCGGACCACATGAGGCAGAGGCCATCGGCTGGAAGATCGGCGCCTTCCTGCACGAGCCATCCGCTGCAGCAGCGGCCATTGACGAGTACCTCATCGGCGACTCGACGCTGAGGCGCCGCGTCAAGGCGGCCATGGCGCACTTCGTCAAGTCGGCCGCCACACGGACATCCAGCAATAGGGAGGTCATCGGCGACATGGCCAATGTGGGCGGCGTCGTGGTGCGTGTGCCGCTGCAGTGCTGCGCCGTTCGGGGTCGGTTGGGCGGGCCGCATCGGCTGCTGGGTGTGCGTGAGGTGGTGCACAAGGCCCGGCTGGACGAGGCGGCCAGCCATGGCGTGATCGGTGTGGTCAAGGGCTTCAACGAGCACCCCGGCGATGGCGACTGCGTGTTCGAATGGCAGCAGCTGGGGTACATCCACAAGGCCATAGGGCTATTTGTGGCCCTGGGCATCGAATGAGTGATTGTGTGGCGGGGGAGGGAGGGAGGGGGTCGGGGAGGGTCTGTGGTGATCGTCAGCTGCCTTTCCCTCCTCTTCGCTTTCCTTCTTTCCATTTCGTGATGTTTGGGGTCGTTGCTTGGTCGTGTGAGACGGACACTGTGGCTGTGGCTGAGTTCATCATTGACCCCGATCGGCGATTTGGTGAACGAATGTTGGTGAATGAATGTACGTAAGCAGCGCGAGAAAGAGTGCGTGCATGAGTTCGCTGATAGGCATGACAGCGACGTCTGTCGGTCCGTGATCCGTCCACATGAAGGCACGCACACAAACACGTGTGCTTGAAAGATGGCAAAAAGGAAGGAATCATCTGAGTCAGTCCGTCCGCTTCCGGAAGGAAATCCGTCGCGACGCCTCAAAGTAACGTACGTCGGGATAAATATACATACATCGATCAGACAGACAGCCTCCGCCAAGCCCCGCCCGTGTGTCAGCCGTGAAGGCAGGTTGATAAATCCTACCATGGGCGTTCGTCTGACATCAGATATGCACTTTGGAACACCTATAAAGGTGCACACACAGAGAGAGAGAGACAGACAGACAGACAGGGGTATACACTTACACAGAGAGCAAGACGGAACAGCGGGCACGACGGGGGAGTTGACAGAGGGAGCTGGCGAACATGACCGAGCGCATGGACGCCCCCACGCACATGCCACACCGGTACACACGACATCAACCGACTGACTCGCTCAGTCGCTGTGGTACGACACATACACAGACACATGCAGACACACGACAGGTCTATGCTACACGTACACATGTACATTTAATCATCCATCTGCCCTCTCGCCGCCCCCGCCCCTCGTCGTATCTCGGTCACTCGACCGTGACGACTTCAATCTCGCTCAGCCGGAAATCCATCCCGTGCGCCATTTTCGAGTGCGCTATCACCCGGATCTGGTGCCGGCTCCCCAGTGTGGGCCACACCGAGTTGCCAGCCCCCTGCCGGCCCTCCTGCTTGGGCCGCTCCGACTCCCACACCCACGCGTGGGCGATCCGCAGGTCACCACCACACGCACCGCCACCCAGCAGACTGCCGTTGCTGTTGGCCTTGTTGATGGCCGCCACACCGCCCCTCTCGTAGCCCAGCCACAGACGGCCGCCGCAGAAGGCGATCCTCCCGGTGTCTGCTGTCTGCAGCACACGACAAAAGAGAGATAGAAGCATGTGCGTGGTGTTTGTGGGTCCCACCCCGCCCCGCCCGCCTGTCTGACTGACCGGTATCCGATCAGCAGTGCAGTATCCCTTGACGGCTCCCGTGACGGCGGCCACGTTGAGGTTGAGGTTGCCGTTGTCCTTGAGGGCGAACTTGCCAATGCCGCCAGAATGACTCGTGCTGCTGCTGCTGCCTGTGCTGATGGTGGATGTGCCGGTGTTGGTGTCGATGTCGGGTCCCTTGAGCTTGAAGAGTGTCTGCTGTGTGGTGGTGATGCGCTCCTCGCTCTTGTCGTCGGGCTCGCTGATGCAACCCGACACGTACACCTACACGACACACAAGGACAGACAGGGAGGGAGGGAGGGAGATATGTGTGTGGGTGTGTTGCATATGCTATGTCAGTGGCTGCTTACCCCGATGATCTCTCCGGACCCTTCTGCCTGGCACAGGATGATCAGCGGCTGACGGCACCTCGCGGCACGCAGAAACGTCGGGTAGCGCCAGCCATCCTCTGACGCACTGCACCGACACACGCGCAGGGAGAGGCCCATCCATTCAATGGCTGCGTCCATGTTCATTTCTGCCCTCTCTGTGCTTCACTCCCTCCTCTCACGTGTATAGCATCCTGATGTTGCTGTCATGCATGCGCTCATCGGCGATCCACTCAATCATGCGCTGGACCATGCTGCCGTCCTTGAGGAGCCGGCTGCCCACCAGCGGCAGGAACTTGCCGCCCACCGCACACAGGCCGTACATCTCCATGGCGTCACGGAGGGAGCTCGCATTGTCTGGCCGCACATACGGCTGGGCCACATGGACCCGCCCCAGCAGCTTGCACAGCCGCTGCCGCCGGCACACGTCCACCAGCACCTGGAACAAGGCCAGAGGGACGTCCTGGATCACCTCGTTGGGCCACCTACAGAGATGGGTGACACACCACAAAGCAACGAAGACAGAGAGAGATGCACACATGTCACGGCGGGCATGGGTGTGCGTGTGCATGTACACCTAGACATACATACCTGCAGAATCGGTTGTAGATGGTGGATGTGTCGCCCATCTGTCTGACGGTCGACAGCCGCGTCGCCACGGTGGTCCCCAGCACTTTGACGCTCACCACGCGGTCCTCCTGCTCGTCGCACCCACACAGCTCATCGTCGTGGCAACAGCTCCGGTGCGTTGGCGAGTCGCGCAGAAAGGGCGCAACCGCACCGAAGCGCCGCTGCAGCCTCTGCTCCAACCCTGGCAACTCGTCTAACAGCCTCTCCAGCTCACGAACGCTGCAGAGAAGGATAGATGGGTGAGTGTATGATGGATGCAGTTCTCGTCCCCCCCTCTGACCGACCGACCCACCCACCTGGCGCACAGCCCTTCAAAGGAGCCTCTCACGAGCGGCCGATTCAGGTACGGTCGCAGGCCACGGGAGAGGCCGCCCGTCGACAGCGGCAGAGCGGGCGATGCGGATGCTGATGCTGCGAGTGTTCCCTCCTCCCTCTCCCTGTACACGTTGCCCTTGTCCATCTTCTGCATGAGGGTGTCCACGATGAGGGCGTATGAGGGGTCGGTGTGGAGGTCGGGCGGCAGCTCCACGGTGTGTGTGTGGCCATTCTGCACCTCGATGAGGGAGTCGATGAGCCACATGAATGCGGGCGGGTAGACGTCGAGGAACAGACGGTCAGTCGGCGTACGCAGGAAAGCACTGTCCCAACGACCTGCACTCAGACAGACAGACAAGGCCAGTGAGAGCTCCCGTCCCTGTGTCGACCATTCCCTGCTTGATGTGCCGCTTACCCGAGAACAGCTCAGCCAGCACTGTGTGCGGCAAGCACGTGAGTGTCGACCGCCTCACATCGACGATGAAGCCACCGACATCCAGCGGAAGCAGCTCGTCACCCCCCGTGCGCTCGCTGTCATCCTCCCGGCACAGATCTCTCTCCGCCACGCTCCCCCCTCTGTTCTCCACCTCGTCACGCACCGCCACTGCGGATCTCTCCAGCTCGTCGGCTATTGCCTTGATGCACTCCTGTGCCCGGCTGACGGGTCTCAGCGCCTGGCTCATGAACGAGTCCATTTCTCTGACGCCACACACCACCGGGGTGGCTTCTGATGCCGCCGGCGGGAATGTCGACGTCATGCCGATGATCACGGAGCAGAAGTGGGCGGCGAGCGGTGTTTGGTTGAATCGAGGATCTTACTGACAGCGCGGGGAACGCTGCAGAGGGTGCAGGGACCCTGTGCCGTTGGATCCTCTGATCCCTTTTTGCTGAGCTCGCAAACTAAGTCTCAGCCCCCAGTCTCTTACCAGTCTCCCATGGGGTCGTCAATGTTCCATTATCAACGACAGCAGAAGGCACAGAACGCTGTCGTTTAAGTCGAGAAATCTCGATGCCCGGAGACGGCGATCAATTTTTTCACGTTTTGTTTTCATTTGTATGTTTTTGCACCGGCCAACAAGGGCTGTAGGTTTTAATCCGCGTCGAAGGGAACGATGCAGCGGTCAGGCCGTCATTGGGTTCCCCCACCCGCCATCTCAGCCGCATCCAAGAAGAAAGCCGCTCCCACTCAGCCCAAGCAGAAGTCTGCACACTCCCCCTCCAAGAAGATACCCAAGAATGCCGGCCATCTCGAGGAGTTGAGCGAGAAGGAGAGGGCATGGCGGTTCAAGGAGCTCGTGTCGTTCATCTGTATGGAAAAGCTGCCCGAAAACGCCGAGACGATTCGGCCTTTTCGTCGGCGAGAGAGGAAAGAGGCAGATGGCAAAGTCACCGCGCGGGCACCCAATATTCTTGAGCAGCTAATCGATGCGCACTGCCTCTTGTACAATTACGGCAGCTATTTGCACCTTGACGGCCTCATCAGCAATGTGGCGGTCGACAAGGATGGGCAAGTCTATGTCTTTGATCTTGGAGGAGCTCTCTCAATGTCAAAGGGATCCGGACCTTGCACTCATCGACCCGAAGAGTGAAAGCACAAGAAGCTTGTGAGTTATTCCTCTCTCGTAAGCCAAATATCTCAGAGCTCTCCCCTTCACCCCGTTGCCACGCCGCCAAAAGCGTCAAAAACCATCACCATGAAGACACGGGTGCCAACTATCACCATGGAAGAGGTGCGAGGTGTAGGCACGTAGAACGACCACACGTGCTGTCTTGCTTGTGTCTGTGTGCAGGCGGAACACCACAGTTGACCGCACCAGAAGTGTTGCGGCAGGAGGGCTACATGCAAGCGGCAGACGTATGGTCCTTCGGAGTCATCCTGTGGTGCGGGAATGAGTTTGAAAATAAGTCATTCGTGCTCTGATCTCCCTCTAGTCACATGCATCGTAATGTCATCAGGGAGCTGCTTATGGGGAAGATTCCCTTCCGTGTATTGATAGGATCCCCTGGCCGCCCTAGAACAAGCGGCCATCAATGACTTTCACGCAGAAGATGATGAGGCCACAGAGTGGGTGATAGTATGGATACAGACGCACAAGCGCCATTCATGTCTCTCACATGTCCCGTATTTGATTATGTGTTGGCAACAGCAACACTGTTCTCCCAACAATCACGCCCAAGGCCATCAAAAGCTCCAAGCCGCCCAAAAAATGAGTACGGTGAGTCAGCATTGTATAACTTCTAATTCATTGTTGTTTGCTTATGCTTGTTTATGCCAACAGCAACTGGCGGGACGAAGATGAGATTCATGCAGTTGCTGTTGGCATGAGCAGGCATTGGTTAGTGTTTGTTCGCAGGACGAGAGACATGAGGTTAGACAGACAGGCATCACTGAGGCGTGTGTGCACATCAACGTTGACACACAGACACACACACACACTCACACACGGCATCCTCTGCGTCCGTGTCTATCAGGCTGGGCCTGGCTGCCACCACGAAGGGAGTGGATGGAAGCCACTGGCGGCGCCGATGATGAGACGACTCGGTGTGGGCTGTCAAAGCGAAGCTGAAGTACAACGACGGCATCATCATTCACGCTACTGGAAACGCCGGGGCGAACAACGTGGCCTTCAGCCGTATTTAATTATGTGTTGGCAACAGCAGCAACTTTCAGCTCCCCACAATAACACCAAAAGCAATCAAGAGCGCCAATCTGTCTGTTTGTTATTTGCTTGCGCCCTCAGTTTCAAGGCATGTTTCAAGGGCGTGGGTGTTGGTTCTTTAGGCCATGAATGTGAGACATGAGGTTAGACATCAGCCACCCTCCTCTCCATCATGTATTCAGCTGAGGCTCTGTGTGTGCTGCTGTAGTAGCCCATCTGCACACACAGGGCCGGTGTGCTGTTCATCGACCACGGCAACACGCTACACGCTCGCCAACCCGGCCCCCTGATGCGCCGCAGCGACGGCACCCCCCCCCCCCC